TAGCTTTGCGCCTTTCCTGGATCTCTCTCTGTAGGCCAGGCTGGCCTCAAACTCACAAAAATCCGCCGGCCTCTGCCTCCCAAGTGCTGAGATTAAAGGCGTGTGCCGCCGCCGCCGCCGCCGCCGCCGCCGCCGCCGCCGCCACCACCACCACCACCACTTGGCTAGCTATCTTTGATAGTGCTGGAATGTTCTACACAAAGGTACTAGGGGAGAAAAGTAGTCAACAGTCTTAACCAACTATGAATGCTATAAGTTACAGTAAAGATTAGCTTGGTAATTGATATGATCACTGGTGTGGGAGTAGCATGGATGTTATAGGAGTAAACAAATGCTTTCTAACTGGATTTAAAGCCTGCTCTGCCAGACAGAACTCATCCATGATATTGTTAACAAGGTCAAAATCCCAAGGGCTAGCTAGGTCACAGGCCCTAGGAGAAACCCTAATATTCTGCTAAATGAACCCAGCCATAAACTGCCGCTGGAGTTTTCATCTTTATATCCATTAGATTAGTTCATCTCGTGACTTCCATCAGAGAAGGTTATTCTTGCAGTAGATAGCTAAAGCAGAAACTCAAAACTGGTCGAAGTGCAGAGAATTGGATTGTGGAGTGCTCAGCCCTAAATGGGACATTTATGGCACACACAATGATCAGGGGTCATTGTGGAAAAGAGGACAGAATGACTGTAAGTGAAGAGAAAACGGACATGCGCATCCAAAAGTACCCGCTGGAAAAGACAGCACTGTGGCACACACGGACTCACAACAGCTGTGGCTGTGCATGTAGGACTTACACCTACCTGATCAAGCCAGGCAATGTTCAGCGTGGATGGAGCAGGGGCTCATGAAGCCCCGCCCCAACTGAAGAGCTACTGACAACTGATGTCTTCTGGTTGCCGGAGAGTCAGTTTTCTTCAGGGATGCAGTGTCTGCAAGACTACTCACGCTCCAGTACATTGTCCTACACCCAGGCTCACGCAGGCAGCGCTGATTTGACTCAGTGGGCTTAAAAGCAGAGCACATAAAGTTGGGAGGGGAAAGTGGGGGAGGGAATGAGGAGGGAATGGGAGGAGAGGGAAACAAAGTGGATTTGAGCAAAACACATTAAACCCATGTGTAAAATTCTCAAACAATTAAAGCAATTTTCTCAAAAGAAAAAAAAAAAGACTCTGAGGGCTGGAGAGATGGCTTAGTGGTTAAGAGCACTTGCTGCTATTACAGAGGACCCGCATCCAGTCCGCAGTACCTCCTATAACTTTAGTTCCAGAGGATCCAACACCTTCTGGTCTCTGTAGGCACCTGCATGTATGTGGTATACATAAACTCATGCAGGTATACACACATATATATAAATAAAAATAATAATAACTCTTAATTTAAAAATGCTGAGAATATTGGGGCTGAGATGTAGCTAACTCATTCATTTAGCAAGCACAAGGCTATAGGTTCAATCCCCATCAACACACACACACACACACACACACACACACACACACACACACACACGATGGTGGTACATGCCTATAATCCCACCTGTAATTCTTGTATGCAGCATGTAGAGGTAAGAGGATCAAAAGTTCAAAGTCATCCTATAGGTGTCGTCCATAGCAAGTTTGAGGCTAGCCTTGGCTACATGAGACCTTGTCTCAAAAAGGAAAAAAATGACAGGAGAATGTGTAACCTTTTTGTTGTTTGTCCATCTATTTATTTAATTTATAGATGTTTTTGCAATGAAAAACTTAAAACACAATATACCATTTTCTCCCTCTTCTCCCTCCAACCCCCTCCTATGTTAACTCTCTGTTGACTTTGTCTCAAAGCCCTCTTTTTCTTTATTATTGTTACTGCGTATTCTAACATGTAATCGAGTCACAACCAATTAAAATTTCTAGAAGAAATCCCATGCTAGGAACAAAAATGGGCTGAGTGCCTGGCACTAAATGGGGGAATTGCCAGTAGAAGAATTCTGCCCAAGAAGACTTGCTATAGCTGTTCTGGTAGCTACCTAACAGATGGCTTGTAGGTGCATTTTTTCTTCCTTTTTAAAAATGATTCATTTTATTTCTGTTTATGTTATGTGTGTATGTGTGGTCTGCCTGGTGTGGGTCCTCTGAACTGAACTCAGGTCCTCTGGAAGAGCAGCGTATATTCTTAAGCACTGAATAATCTCTCCAGCCCCTTCTTTTAGCTTTTCTATAAATTGCAAACAAGGCTAAGAAGAAGCTGAGAAATAAACCTGTTTCTTATCATCAATTTTAAAAAATATTTTTGTGTGTGTGTGCGAGCACACGTGTGTGCGTGCATGCAAATGCACGCAGCACAACCATGATTTTTTTTCCACCATGCATGTGTGGCAGTCACAGGACATTTCTAGGACTTGGTTTTCTCCTTCCATCATGTAACAGAGGTCAGACCATCTCACTGGCCCTCTTTTTTTTTTAATCAGTTCCTATCTCCAATCCTTCTGACGAATCATCTAATGATCCATGGATCATTCATTATATTATCTGCACTCTTACAGAGACAGGCAGGAGAATGTGCCTTGCTTGTATTGTCAACAATTTTCGAAGTATTTGGTGTCTAACACCATTTCTAAGATATGAAGATGGGTTTCCTTAGGTTTTAGTCTCTTCTAAAACATCAAAGATACATCTTAATTCCTTCATTTATCTTTTTCTCCTTTTTTTGTAAACAGCAGGTAACTTGTAGCGTCTGCCCACATGCTGTGTGCAGGCAGAGGATCACAGGGAAGCTCATGAGTTAAATCCATCCTAAATGGGGGTATTAAGTCAGACAGCAAGTCATATCCCTGTGCTGGGAATCTCCTTCTACTGCAGTTTGGATATACCATAGTGAGAGGCAAACCAGGAGAGTTTGCTCAGGCTATCTCACCGTGGGGTAGGTGACTGTGTGGGAGGGGTGACTGTGTGGGAAGGGTGACCAGCTTTGCAGAACACATGCTTGATCTTCCCTCATTTTTTTCCCCTCTTCTCTTCAGAGCATGCTGGAGCTGGAGAAGGAAAGAATTCAACTTTTATGCAATAACTTAAACCAGTACAGCCAACATATTTCTCTTTTTGGACAAACGCTGACCACAGTGAGTACTGGAGACTGGTCCATTTCCGGTGTGCATGGTAAGGGTGACAGGAAACAGTTCTTCCCCAGCCTGCTCTCCTTTGCAGAGCCACACACAGATCCACTGTGCCATCAGCAAGGTTGATGTTGAGAAAGACATCCAGGCTCTAATGGAAGAAACCGCAATCCTGTCCACAGAAAACAAATCTGAGTTCCTACTGACCGACTACTTTGTAAGTATGGAGTGGCAGAAATCGACCTTAAGCGGGCACCTTGGCCATGTATTGAGAAGTCATGCTGAAAACAATGCTAATCCCCACCCTGGTCTCCTGTAGCCCGAAGCTGGCCTTTGAACACTTGATCTTCCTGCAGTGATATCTATCCCCTTAGAAGGCTGGCTGAGTTTTAGAATCTTGTTGGGTCTTTGTCTTAGTGGGTCTCGGCTGCTGCCAGAACAGAATACAACAGACTTGGTAATTGACAGAGATTAGAAACTTAGTTGGATTATGATTCTGGCGGCTGGGAAGTCCTGGCTGACTGAGACTGCCGAGGGTCTTCTCTGATGCATCAGAACAGGACAGGAAAATGGCATCACATGGGCAAGAGAGCAAGGGTTGAACTTACTTCTGTGACAAACTTATTCCTATGACAATGACATTAGTCCACTCACGAGGGAGAGCCCTCATCTCTAATCTCCTCTGAAAGTCTTCTTCTCAGTATTTCTGCCTGGGGGGGAGGGGCGGGTATTTTTCTTTCTTTCTTTCTTTCTTTCTTTCTTTCTTTCTTTCTTTCTTTCTTTCTTTCTTTCTTTCTTTCTTTCTTCTGCTTTTCTTTTTTCTCTTTCTTTTTTTATTCTCATACAATAGATCCCAATTGCAGTCTCCCCTCCTTCCCTCCCCTTCCCCCTGGACACACACACACCTCCCCTCACCCCAGATCCACTGCTCCTCCATTTCCCTTCCAAAAGGAACAGACAAGGTGGGTGGTAGTGTGAATCACGCCTTTAATCCCAGTACTTGGGAGCCAGAGGAAGGAGGATCTCTGTGAGTTCAAGGCCAACCTGGTCTACAGAGTGAGTTCTAAGAAGGAAGGAAGGAAGGAAGGAAGGAAGGAAGGAAGGAAGGAAGGAAGGAAGGAAGGAAGGAAGGAAGGGGCTGGCCTCGGGCTATCAACTGAACATGGCACGACAAGATGTAATAAGTTTAGGCATACACCTTCATATCAAAGCTGGATGAGGCAACTCAGTAGGAGAAAAAGGGTCCCATGAGTGGGCAAAAGAGTCAAAGACAGGGTAGTTCAAGACAGGGTTTCTCTGTGTAGCCCTGGCTGTCCTGAAACTCACTCTGAAGACCAGGCTGGCCTAGAACTCAGAGATCAGCCTGCCCCTGCCTCTCAGGATTAAAGATGTGTGCCACCACCACCCAGTGAGGAGGGGTTGTTTCTATCTCATGAACTTTGAGGGACATGTAAATCACAGTAGTCTTTTGTAAGAGTAATCCCAGGCGGGTATGTTCAGTGATCTATAAGTGACTGTTGTATTAGTTTTCTACACAAATGGTAAATTGACTCAATTTACTGGCTTAAACATTTGATATCTCACAATTTATATGAGTCAGAAATCCAGGTGTCACATAGCTGGAGTCTCTGAATCCCTCACAAGGCAAGGGTGAAGGACTATGTGTGTGTGTGTGTGTGTGTGTGTGTGTGTGTGTGTGTGTGTGTGTGTGTGTGTGCCATTATAGTTTGCTCTTCTTTGTCTTCTCCCCCATGGCCTTACCTTCTTCCTCCTCACCCACTCCTGCTATTCCCCTGCCTCCTCCAAGACAGTCTTTCCTCCAGCTTTTGTATCATATGTATTCCACTACTCTCTCTTCTCCTCACCTCTTCCTCCCCTCTCAGAGTTCCCTTTCTGTCTCCACTTTCTGAATCTGCACGCTTGTGTGTGTGTGTGTGTGTGTGTGTGTGTGTGTGTGTGTGTGTGTCTTTGCGATGTGACTTTTTCCATCTCACCTGGCAACACATGGCAGCCTGCTTCCCTCTGGATGAGTGACCCAAGAAAGCCAAAGCCAGAGCACTCAGAGGGGAAGCACAGTTCACCTCTCATCATGGTCTGTCTGTGTGGCAGGAAGTACAACCCTTACTCAAGAGACAAGAGACAGAAGTCTGGGCATGGGAAACACAGACATTTTTTAAAGATCCCTACCCTTGAAAAACAAGGGCCAAACTGCCTGAGACCCATTCTTAGGCCATTTGGGAGATTCTGATGCAGGATGATCTTTATTGCTGAAAACGGATCGGTTTCTCTCACCAGAGCCCAGTCATTTGCTTCTGTTCCTCGGCCTCAGCCTCTCGGGTGTTTGCATTACAGGTGTGAGCTCCACACTCAGCTTCTCAGAGTAAATCTTTGTCCTCTAGGAGCTAGCCGATCTAAAACAAACAAACAAAGAGCGAAACCAAACTTCTCGTTTTTTTCCCCAAGCTCCTACTGGCCTCCACTGGCCATGATGCCTTGGCCTCACAAGTAGCTTGGAACTCCAGGCCCCAGGGTCCTAGATTTTCCTTTTCCGTTTTGGAGGGTGGAGGAGCGAATAAGCCCAGGGCCCTCCCTGTACACGGTAGGCAAGCATACGGCAGACACTGAGCTACACACCTTGTATCTAGAAGCCGATGAGTGACGTCTGCTCTTGCCTGTGCTGTCTGCGGGACTTCTTCAGGCTTCCCACCTCCCTCCCAGCTCTTACCTGTCTCTGGTCTATAGAAGCAGCCGATCACGCTCTCCGACTGGATTAAACCTACAGCTGACCCAGGGCCAAGAACCAGGACCCCTACTCGGAGAACAGGGGATGGAGGGACAAGAGTTCTGCATCCCGACAAGATTAACCTCCCCCCACTCCCAACAGCCACACAAGTAGCCAGATGTTTCTTTAATTGAGTCTTTTTTCCCCTTACCTTGGTAAAGGTGAAGGGTGCTGCTGGCAGCCTTGTCTACTCAAAGCAGAAAGGGAGGCCACAGGAATGAAAGAGGGCGCTCTTCTTCCTTTCCAGCCTCAGATGGGCAAGTAGATGAGAAACACGTCTGCTGTTGATAGAGGCAATGAAAAGGCCTCTATCAACTAACTTGTCAATACACCAAGGATATTCTAGGAAAATCGAGGGTTCTATTGCATTATCAGGAGTTAGGATGGTTCATCTTCAATTGACATACCCATGGGAACTTATGATTCTTAAGAAACTTGACTGTCCTAGAATTCAACTGGATAGCTAAATCTGTCTCAAATGACTGACTAGGACTGTCATGTGTCCTTAAAGCTCTGCATGCCGGCATCTGACTTCACAGTCCTCGGCAGTAAGTGGCAGTAAGTATGAACTGACTGTTATCCAGTGCTGTGACGTTTACTCAGACAGGGACACGTGAGACAAGGAGAGTGATCTGAGCTCCTAAGGTGGAGGGCCAGTGACCAGTGTGGAGCTAACTGTAAATCCTGCAAGTTCCATCTTCAAAGGATTATAGCTTTGCATGCTCTTAGTACTGCCCTTTCCCAGCACCCACGAGCCTGGTTTTTTCCCTCCCCTAAACAACTCCTCCCTTCCTCTGTGGGTGGCTGTCCACTTGTGTTCACCCACCTCCTGACCCACCCTCTTGGTTTTCTTTTCATCTGATCCTGAAGTAATTAACATGAGAACTCACATACCGCCCGGTACTGTGACTCATACCTGTAATACCGGCACTTGAGAGGCTGAGGCAGGAGGATTGCTGTAAGCTCAAGCCCAACAGACCGAACTAAATAGTGAGACCCTGTGTCAAAATAAAACAAAGCAAAACAAAAACACAAAACCTTGGCGGCTTCAGCCGTAACCTCTGGCCTAACCGACACAGGCCACGCTCTTTCTCTTCCACCATGTTTGCCCAAGCCAATTGTCCTTACTGCTCCCGGTGGACTCTCCAGAGAACCCCCTTTCCTTCCTCTGCACCCTTTCTCCTGCAGAACGCCCTTTGGCCTCCGTCCACTTCACTTCCGGGTACGTCTACAGCCTCGGAGCCTGTGCTATTGCTGCACACGTGTGGCCGGGACTCGCCGGTTCTCCTGATGATGTTTGGGGAACTGACGGGTCGAGCACCGTTCAGGGCTGAGCGTGCGTTCTGGCTCTAGTCGTCCGGCTAACAAGCCAACACAGATTCAGCAAACACTCGTTCCACTCCTGAGGCAGTCCTAACCTGAGGCGTGCACAGAGTCCTGCAGTGGATAATTAGAGGACTTGAGCTTGAATCAATGCCAATGATGTCGTGAAACGTGAAGTATCCCGCAAAGAGTTTATTTATCAAGATGCTGAGGTCACCATGGAAAATCTCTTCCTCCAGGAGTAATTTGTTTTATTAAATAAGATGCTCAGCTGTGTACTGATGAGTTGTGAACGGGATGCGACCTTATTAATCAGGCCTAAAACAGGTGGAACAATGTGTGAACCAAAGATTATCTTCATTTTTCAATCTCACCCCTCTGGTGAGGTAAAAACCGTCAAATGTAATGAGGGAGAGTCTCAGAAAAACTAGGAGTAGTGACTCTCATTTTTTCTTTTAAGTTATTAAATATCTTTTTTTTTCCTTCTAAAGGAAGAAGATCCAAAGAACACAATGGATAAAGAGAGACGGAAATTGTTGATAAAACCAAAACTGTTGAGACTGCAAAGAGACATTGAGAAGGCCTCGAGAGAGAAAGAAGGTGTGTGATATTCATTCCACAGACCCAAGGCTGGCCTCGAACTCACGACATAGAGCAGACCAGGCCGGCCTCGCACTTGTCTCCTGTCTCTGCCCCTCCTGCACCGGGATACAAGCTTGTACCATTCCTGGCTTGTGACCATGTCCTTGGATGCAGGATAAAGGAAAGTATTCTGTCACACTCAGAAGCTTTACTTGGAGTTAGGGTTCATCTGCTTTTGTAGAGTAGGGTGGGGGTCCTCTCTTTCAAGAACTGCATAGTAAATTTAAGGTATGTTGAATAAAAGTAAAAAAAAAAAAAATTTTAAAGTCACCTGTGGGGCTGGTGGGATTGCTCAGTGGGTAAGGGCACTTGCCTTGAAAACATGACAGTGTGAGGTGATCCCTGGAACGCGTGCAAAGGTGAACGGGTGCCAAGCTGTCCTCTGATTTCCACGTATGCTCTATGGCACACGTGTCCACATATCTTACACACACATGCACACATATACATACACATCATTAATAAAACATTTAGAGTTGGGTGTGGGTGCACACCTATAATCTCTGCACTCAGGAAGCCGAGACAGGAAGACTGCTGTGGGCTGGAATCCAGGCTGGGCTCCATAGTGACTTAAAGGCCAGCCTGGCATAGAGTGAGGCCTCCATCTCAAAAACTAAAATAAAGAAAACAAAAAAAGTATACAAAGACACTTTGGTCCGTTTGTGAGAACTATGTAAGTAGTTCACTGCTATGAATTTCTAAAGTGGCTGGGATGAGAGACAACTTGTGTGATGTAAACATGACTTGGGCATTTTATTTCTGTCTTCTTTCTAACGTTTGAAATGTTATGACAATCACTCACGTTAAATCCCATACTCAGGAGTCAGAGGAGTTAGCATGTGAAATAATTCAAAGGCAGGACACACAACCAAACAAGCCCCAAGCCCACATTTATAGTGCAGCTTCTTGGCATGGACCACAAGATTTCTTTTGATGTAACTGGGAAACCCAAGATAGATGCTGCAGATGTTAAAAAAAAAAAAAAAAAAAAACCACCCAAGAAGGAAGAACCTAGCAGGATCCTGTAAATGTGGGGAATACTGGAATGGGCCAAAGGAAACTCAAAATCTTGTCTTGAAAAATCCAGTCAGATTCTTTAAGCACCAGCATTTCTCAGATTTCATCCAATAAGGGTAACAATAAATGAACTGTATGTTCACTTATCATCTCCATTGAGTAAAGAAAGCCCCATGATGGCTACACAGGGAAGCCCCTCCTCCACGCCCCCACCCCCACTGTTGTGTAGGAAGTCCCACGTGTATGGCTTCTAGCCTTCAGGATCTCTTTAAAGGTGACTGTTCCCTGCTATGCCCCACTAGGACTGGGTGAAAGATGACCTAGAATGTGGTTTCATTTCCAGGCCTGGAACAGAAGCTTAATGCACTCTCCAGCAACTCCTCCTTCTCTGATGCCAAGAGCCAGAAGGATGCAGCGGCCTTAATGGATGAGGTAAATATTTGCAGAGCGCATTTCCTGATGAAAGGGTTATTTTTAGAATATTTGTTTTTCAACCCACTTCTTCTGCTTGCCGCTCCTTCCTCCTGAATCAGAACAATTGAGTGGGAGAGCTGAGACAGCCAGCTCCTCCGAGGGTTGGTGGAGGGACGTGGAAAACTCCTGCCACCCAGAAGTGTTTGCTTTCCTTTCTGTAAAACAGAGACACCATTGGGTTCTAAATAGAAGTCTCCAAATTAGATGCATTCTTTAGTGGAACCATAGGCAGTTTGACCCTGACGAGTGACCACAGTCCCCAGATCACTGGCTTGCCATTCACAGAAGCTGATCCTTGGAGTTGGCGCTGCTGGTCATAAAAACCTGGAATGCTACTGTTCCCATCTGCAAAATGGGAATATGGATACTCTACCATAGAGCTCTTTGAGGATGCATTGTTACCCAGAAAATGCTACTGCAGTGCTCAGAGGAGCTCAAAATCTGATGGACATCTTGTTCGACTTATTTGTCTTTTACAGTGGTGGGATAATATAACACACACAGCTGTTTTGTTTTTCACTTTCAGTATAATGTCCAGTAAATTATGAGGGAATATTCTCCCTCTGTTATGAAACGGTCTTTGCACCAGGTGATTTTGCCCAATGTGAGCTAATATCAGCATCTAATAATTCTGAGCACGTCTTAGGTCTGCCAACCTGAGTGGGGCTGTTCAGCGGGTGGGTTGAAGAAGGTATTACCTCAGTTCTCAGCTAACGCTGGGCATATCGGGATGCTACCTCACCATGAGTGGAGGTGCAGCTGGAGTTGTTAATACTATTCTACTTTCCATTTTTCCTTCAGATGACATCAGAGTCCTTCGAAAACAAAAAGATAGGCCTATAATCAGGAGGAGGGTGTGGGGGTGTGGCAAAGGCCTCTGAGGAAACAGGGAACTATTTTAGAAGCAAAAGTTTGGAGGAATTGGGTGGGAGTGGAAGGAGCTGGAAGAGGGTTGGCGCTGTGGCTTGAGTGGTGAGAAGTGGGCTCCTGTTAATACAAGAAGAATCCAGGGAGAGCAGACATTTTTAGTAATGTCTTGTAGGATACAGAAATCTGGAGAACTTTCTTACCTAACCTAACTCTCTTGAGGAAGTAGATATCTAACAATTCTACCCAACTTGGGAGTTTCAGTAGCGGTTTGGTGAGAGCTGGCATATGCAGTCATGTACACACACACACACACACACACACACACACACACACACACACACACATACACACACACACACACACACACACACACACACACACACACACACGATAGATTTCCTTTAGTGGGAAGGCTGATACAGAAATGACCCAAACACTTTCTGTGAAAAGAAAGCTCTAAACCTGTTTGCTTGGGAACAGAGATATGAAATACTGCTGCAATGACATGTGGGTATAATTTACAGGAAATCATAAAACCCACCGTAGGACATGTTTTTATTATGGCACAAAATGATCAATGAACGAATTCAATGCAAATGACATTTACCAAAATGAAGTCATAAAAAGCACAGCACCAGTGTCCTCGCTTGTCTTCGCACAGAGTCTTGCTGTCATGGTCAGCATCAGACATGCATTAGCATCATTTGCCCACAAACTAACCTAACTCACATGGAAGTGAAGAGAAGAGTCACTCCCCGAGCTTGTGATGTCTGTGCGCAAGCTCGAAGCTTTGAGTGGTGGACGCCACATGCTACAGAACTCCCTTAGACAAGCTGCCCCTCGGGGGAGAGGGACACTGGTGGTGTGAACAGATGCCGTAGTATTTCGTAGTATTCAGGGACGGGTCCTCGGAGAGGAAGCTTGACTTGTTGCAGGGTCTCCTGGAAGTGCCATGTTTGATTCAAGAACGTTGGCAAAGAGGCACTCAGAGTGGATGGTATCTGTAGACGCTGGGAGAGTGCTGCTCCTAAGAGCTTGGCGCTTCTCTGATGCTTTCGGATGTGCCATAGCTGGGACCTAACACCAGAGGCATGGGGACTTTGGCTTTCATCTTAGGTGAACCCGTTGCTAAGCAAACTGTGCCGAGGCTTAGAGGCCGTTCCTTCAGAAAGTCACTTTCTAGTTGGACCATGACACTTAGGAATACTATGCCGGAGTAACGGAAAAGAGAGAAGGAGGGGGTTGCAGGAGGCCCTTCCAGTGTTCATTCTGTAATTTGATTGCTCCTGAGTGACCATCTCCTACAAAGAAGTAATTAGGATGTTTTAGTTCAAGGTCAAAGCCAGAACAGGAAGAGACTAGGAACTTGAGTCACTCCTTGTCTTTCTGCTCAAACACCCCGGATTACTACTGGAATGTTGTTTCCAGTTTTGAGGAGCAGTGTTACTAAAACTCTTCTGGACAATATAAGATGGGCCTCTTTAAATAAAACACAACTCCTGTATATTGTGGTGGGACATGCTCAGTTCTTTCAAACTCTGCCTCATGATTCTGAGAGTAATCAACACTTATTTCTTTCTTGATCCTCGGGGGGGTGCGGGGTGGGGGGTGGGGGGAGGAGAATGTCCAAAGTTGATCATCATCACAGACTACCTAGAAACTTATCTAACTAGTTTCCTTTGCCCTAGCTACAGGAGTAAAGACTGAGCAAGACACACCAAGTCTTTCCCTCTACCTTGTGTTAAGGGGCTTATCTTTTCAGTGTGTTTTATGTGTATTCGTATGAACTGAGTGTGCATGCCTCTAGAACTCTCCTTTGAAAAGTATCCTGAGATTCCTTTATTCACCCAGCTGTGCCTTGTTCTCTTGAAACTTCCTCACATGGCCATATGATGTGTCCACAGCACAGTTTGAAACTGGACCTTCTGCAAGCGAACTCCTACAAGCTGTCATCTGTGTTAGCAGACCTGGAGCAAAGGCCGAAACCCAGC